CATCATCAATCATTAATCTGGATTAATTTAGTTCACGTCCGTAAGGATCTATATTCTAATAACTAGGTCTTCTATCTCGAGATGCATTACGTGCGAAGACTCGAACGGAGAAATATTACTCGGAACTCTCGATAGAATTTGCAGACTGCCGCATTTACTCGCTTCTGGAGAATGGTAAATTGCCGCGCTACTTTTTCCTTCTTCGGTGGATCGCTTTCGAATTGCGGCGACGATCGCGGTGTGTGTGTGTGTGTGTGTGTGTGTGTGTGTGTGTGTGTGTGAGAGAGAGAGAGAGAGTGCGGAGAGAATTGGCGTGCCAACCGAACTTCTTTTACGTGATCGCTCCCTCAACTTCGTCGATCACTCGATTGGTCCTCGATTGGACCGCGGAAGATTCTCTTTCCTCGCTCGCGTAGAAAACTTAGCGCGCTCGCCCGCAATTCTGCGACAAGCTATCCAAACTTCGTTGCGCGAAGCGAAGCGAACGGAGCGGTCGGTAATTAGCGAGGCGCGGCTAATTAAGCGAAGAGAAACTTAATCAATGTCTCGGTTTTTTCTTTCCGGGCGCGGTTATTACGCGCATTAATTCTGCGCGCTTGGCGGTAAACCATCGGCAAATGGAGAAGAGTTAGCGGTAATCTTTCATCGTCGGGCATATTGCGAATATTAATTGTTGCAGAGATAGAACGAACGACTGCAGAATTATTTGTACAAGACGGAAGATTAATTATTTATTTAGAATTTAGAACGCTTTTGTGCAGAGTTATGAACCGAACGCGAATTAGCTTTTGCAATATAAGGATTGTAAGAATTATCTTTACGGATTTGATTTTGATCCGCAAAAACATGTATATAATTGGATGTTGAGTTTTTGTTTACATTCAATATTGATCGCCCGTAGCCTCTCAGTTCCGAAAAAAGGCTTTGAATCATGATAAAAAGGTGATTCGGGTCCCTTCGGTAAGGGTATCAATCCTAAGGAAAAACCCACGGGATGATCCTTATTCGCGAACGTAAACCGATTCTTTACTTCGATGTGTCTGATTGTGAAATAAGGACATGGAAACGGTTATTCTTCGTTTGTAGGTTTATATTTCTTTTCCTTCAACACAACGTTGGTTTTTTCAAAAAATAAGTGCTTTTATATAGTTTATACCAATATTTCATTATTTATACAAATTATTAATCTCATTCAATCGATTAAAAATCAAAACTACAGTGTAGTCGAAACTTTTTATTGTTCAAGTAAATAGAATTTTAGTAATTTAAATTTCTTTTTAACGTTTTAACGAGGATTTCTATTGATACAATTTTTATTCAATAAAATAGTTAATCCATACTATTTTATAATATGTACCTTTAAAATTCGCGTAATAGTTTAATTTATTATTATTTCTTTATTATTATTATTTATTTTTAATATGTGCTGAAGAAAACCAAGTAATAAGGTCGAAACGTTCACATGTTTTATTGATCTTTGGACAATAAATTATCGAATATTTTTATAACTTATAAACCTTTAATTGTTGAAATTTGGTCTCTCAACTCTCTCAATTTGAAAATACTTAATTTTAAAACTTGAAGAGTTAGGCGAATGGATTTTTTATGGTGAATTCGATTCCAGATAGATCAGAAGGTTTCTAATTCGGAAAAAAGCATGATAGTACCGTAAACTCTTTACGGTAGTTTCGCCTGGTGCGTAATTGATTGCGAGTTCTCACATTTCCATGCCATCGCAGCTGATGGGTTTAACTCGAAACTAAATTTGCTCTTCCGGCGCTCAAAGAGTTAATCGCCGGTCCTTCGACTCACGCACGAGCGGTAGCTCAGCTGGCGCGAAAGTGGCGTACCGTCGATAAGATTAGAGACGCCAATCCGTTAATCTGTCGTTATCCAGCATTCCCGGGACCCGGCATGACATCGTAAATCTGCGCGGCGTGGCGGAATTCCAGGTCTCCGCGAAAGTATTTCTCACTCTCTACTTCTTCGCGTGGATCAATCGATTTGCCATTTCCGGGACGATCTCTTCGACGTTGCTTCCACACATTATTCTTTTTTTCTGTCTCTCTGTCTTTCTCTCTCTTTCTGTCTCTCTCTCATTTTCTTCCCTACAACCCCCTTGAGCGTGTCCGAGTGCTCTCCTCAGCGTTCGTCGTTTGTTTCATCCCCTGAACCAAGCAAACAACCGAACTTTTAGTCTAGCAATCCCTTAGACCGGTTTATACGAAGTTAGTGGAGAGGCAAATTCGATATCAAGATCACTCGTTCGTTCCTCGAAGCGAGCTGGTTAGTGTGTATTTGAGAACGTTAGCATTCGTGAAAC